GCATGCCAGGCGAGCGAGCTACCACTTGAGCCACATCCCCAGCCCATCCTTCTTTCTTTATAAGTATCATCCTCTTATGGTTCATTCAGCAAAATTCTACCAGTGATAAAATTCACCTTGGTATTAATTATATTTTCTCCACTATAGAACACTATTTTAGATTGATAATTATTTTCCCTCATTATCTTCAAGGTGATCCTTTCAATATATATATATTTTTTGCTAATGTGGAATTTGCTGTCAAACAAATTCTTGTGATTCATTGCTATAATTTGTTAGTTACCACTGCTTCTTTTAATATTCTTACTTAAATTGTTTTACAGTTTTATTATAATATTGTCCTGTCTACATACTCCTCAGGACTTAGCATCCTTTCCATAATTAGGCTAGAAAATTTCTCTTTCATTCATTCCAATTTTTCTTTTCTATTTTTAATTGTCTTTTCTTTTGGAACAACCAATAGTTAAGTCTTGTTCCTCTTTCCCTACCTTTCATGTCTCAACCTCCTTATACTTTTAATTCCTTCCCCACCCTCCACCCCCTGTGACTGTGTTAGTCACTATCACCAAAATAACAAAAAAGAACAACCAAGAAGAGGAAAAGTTTATTTGGGGCTCACAGTTTCAGAAGTTTCAGTCCATTGTCCATGGACTTCATTGCTTTTGGCTGAAGATAAGGCAGAAGGGTGTGGTGGAAGAAAACTGCTCAGCTGATGGCATCCAGGAAGCAGACAGATAAAGGCAAAGAAGAGACTGCAAGAAATATGAACATTTCCCGGGCACAATCCCAGTGACCAGCTTCCTCTAGCCACATCTTTAACCTGCCTACAGTTAGTTCAAACTAGGATGAAGTGACTAGGTCACAGATCTCCTAATCTAATCCCCTCACCTTTGACTCTGCCTGCACCAACAGGGGAACTTTGGGGTAACACTTCATATTCAGACTGAGACACCAATCAACTTTAAGGAGAAAGATATTTTTGTATAGTATACAGGACATTTTAAAATATATTACACACACATTTAAAAAAATATAGTACACCTGACCATTTAAATATATAGAAACTTAGGTAAAGTTTTCTATATCACGTAGAAATTGTAAAAAATACTTTTAGTGGCAAAGGGCAAAAAACACAGAAATTTTTAAGTAATAAAAATAGAAGGAAACATTTCAAGAAATAAATATGAACCACTTTGAGAGAAAAATAAGTGAGTAACCTTTGTATAAAAAAATACATTCCATGTGATTTTTCTTTATAATGGTTAAGGGTAGCATAGATATCTAAAAGGGGCTAATCAATATTTTTAAGTTTTAGGGTTTTCCACCTAGGTTTGTCGCCTCTTCCTATCCCCTTATACACATCTTGAAATAAAAGGGAAAAGCAAGAATAGTTTTTGATAGTTTATTTCATTCCCACTCTTCCTCACCAGAATCCCAAACCTGGAGAAAACAGTCGAACTTAACAATGTGTCCATTTGGACCTTTTATTTACAACTATGCCATCTCCTTTCTTCTTTGTCCAGGACTTCTCATGAGGTCAGCGTTAGCTATATTGCAGTAGGATTTCTTTCCTAGAAATAAGCAATGAAGAACATGAACATGTTTAAACCTTTGACTTTCAGACCTGAAAAATAGCAGAAACAAGAACATTTTTCTCTGAACTAAAAGGACCAAAATCATTAGCAGCTAATGCTCTGTGTTTGAAATGTAGACACAATTGATCACAGAGAAGCCCTGCTTGGAAAATTTAGCTCAACTAAAGGAAAACAAAGTTTAAGATATTTTATGTGGATAAATAACCTTGACAGCCGTGGAGGATTTTCTACTTATGTGGAATAGCCTCCAAACAACAAATTTTGAATGCCTACTATAATAAATATGCTACCAAGCTTTCCCGTATCTATAACTATTTCTCCTATTTCTCAAAATCACTAAAAATAGAGAAATCATCTACTACTAAGAATATTATGGTCAGATTCACAAAATGTTTCCATGTTAAACACTCCTATGTGGCTTCAGACCTCCTTTGGGATTTAAGTAGAAATATCCTTAAATTTAAAAAGTAAAGAAAAGCTGAGCTTTACAAATAGCAGACTCCATTATTAATGTATATAGCATAGAGAGAGAGAGTCTGAAAGAAATATCTTCACCTTCCTGAAATGTCGAAAAAGACGCTTCCAGCTAAATGATCACGGTTCTCCCCTTCAATTTGACAATGGTAACCTTGAAGACAATAAGTGATTCATTGTCAGAAAACCCAAGTTACATTTAGATTGCTTTATTTCTATATACTTGGGAACCAGAGACCATTTCTGCAATAAAAGTGAAAGGTCATAAACATCATTCAAAGTCATGTTTATGAAAACAGTCCTTTCTTACCTGACCATTTGAAAACTCCACATCCTTCTTCTGACTTAGGTTACGATAGAAATACTCAGTATATCTGTGAGTGATCTGGTGAGTGGTTTCAACGGAGAATAAGGAATGACTTCCACTAATGTACCATTAGTTTAACCAGAGGTGACTCAAAACCAACCTGGAGGCAGCTGCTTCATCATTTCTACACTTCCCTGACTCCAACAGAACAGGATTTCCCAGCTTGTGGATCTTCCTGCATCTCTTCTAACTGACAGCCTTGGAGAGAAAGATTCTGAACAGATCTCTCCTCCCATGCCTCCTAATAAATTGTATAAATTGTGGGAATGGACCAAATAGGAATCCCATTCCATAGTCTTAGACATCATAAACAGCATTGTGTAGACAGGAGCAAAATGGGACTTTCACAAATAGTCCTTTTACTAGGCACAAAACTGACCTGAGATAACTTCATTCGAAACTGCTTAATTAAACTAATACAGGAATTTAAGAGGAACAAAAACATTAACACTGATTACAGCATCACTGGAAGATGGGACAAATTGTGTATTGAAGTTTCCCTGAAGAATGCCATCTCTCTGTGGAGGCAGACAGGCCTATAAAATAGCTTTGGCACTTTAATGCTAGTGCATTCTCAAGTTCCAGATGACAGCTGTATAGTCAACATTTTAAAGCCATCAGAAAACTCAGGCTACACAATGGTCACAGCTGGACCCATCGATCAAACTGTTCTTGCTTGAATGAGATTCAGTAGTTGTTAGATAATTAAACCCTGCATGTTCTGGACCTTAGAATTTTAATCATGGGAGCTAGATTTGGAAGAAAACAAAATATAATGGTTTTCCTAATGTTTCAGCCTGAGATAAAGATTTTAAACCCCTGCAGGATTCTAGGACATGTAACAGTGTCTGAAAGTTATATACAGACTCATAACCTATAACCTATAGTTGTATCAGAAATATTGGCCATGTAAGTTGAGGATGTTTAAATGTTGAGGACTGAATGTGCAAGTAGAATGTTCGGTATGAATAAGAGTTTCTCCTCTGTCCCTCAGCAGGCTCTAAACTAAATTTTCATGCAGAAAGTAGCCCATGACCCAATAGTTTCAGATATGGAGGACATCAATTCCATCACTTTCATATTTATGTGTAATAACTCAGTTAATAAATTTCCCCAGAGGATACAGAAAACTCTGGTCCTAATGGCTCACATTAGGACATAATTTTAAAACATTATATAAAAGAATTTCAATGCTATGATGGCTCCAAATTCAGTGCAATCTGGGCTTCAGTTCTGCTTCACTTTCCTGACTGTCTTGGCTCTGTCTTCTGCTATTTTGTGTTGTTCCTAGATAACATTTTTTTTTTTAATGCTATCTATGCACCAGCCATAGTTAGAGTGCCTTGGATTTTCATTCATGCAGTCATCAAATAGCTTGATGAGATTGACTTCCTATTATTTAAATTTTTTTACAGCGAGGGAACTTTAGGTCCATATTAATTATTTTTCTTCTAAATAGTCTGTAAAACAGGCATTGTTATTATTATGGTCCATTTTACAAAGAATGGAAAGAAAGCACAGAGAGATTAGCTTACTAATGCAAGACTACAAGTTTAACAAATTGCAGAGTTGGAAGCTAAAGCTAGTATTTTGATTCCAGAGCTCATATTCTTATGCATTAGATCATCCAAGTTGGGTCCCAAGATGGAAGCACAGCAGCCGAAATTCCCTTCATATGTGACAGGGCCTAAGGCAACAGAGGAACACATTGCATTGTTTGTATTTTGAAGAAAAAGAACTTTGCCTGAGCTCTCTCTCTTGCAGGTCTTCACTTGGGGTTCACTTGCCAGAGCTGTCATACTTGCTCATCTGGACAGTTCTTAGCCAGTGGGACAAGACCTGTGATGAGTTCATACTATCAGGACTTACCCTATGGGGACAGGATGCAACCAAGCTCCCCTGAAAGAGGAAGACCAGGACAATATTACTGATCAGCCACCAAGAAAACAGGGCAAAAAGACTGTGGTTTCAGTAACCAACAGAGTCTGCTGTGCACACCCACGGTAAAGCTTAGGTTCAAAGAATATGGAAAAGTCAACTGGATATATAAAATCAACAGTCCTTAATGTTGGTCCTCCATTAGGCACCAACCATGAAATCATTATGTCAGATATACATGAGAAAAGAACAATGCCTGGAGCAATCTCATTCCACCTTGAATAGTTACTGTGCTAGAAATCCTATTTTTCCTTTAATACTTTCTGAAAACCTTATTTTGTACTATTTTATGGTGCCAGAGATAAAGTGGTGAACCAGCACATATACTCAGATTTTGTATAATTTTCCTTATACCAGAGGAGAATCTTCATATATAAGTAAAAATATGATATCAGCAGCATACAGGACTGGAGAGAAATGGGAGTGACTTGGGAAATATTGTAGATAGAATGGTCAACAAAGATTTTCTAAGATGACATTTGGATAAAGGCTTAAATGATATGTAGGTTATTGGGGGTCAGGGCTCTGAAGAGGGACTACATCAATTCAAATCCCAGCTCTGCCACACACATGCAGGTCACATCATGGCTTTATGCCTCAGAATAAAATGAGACAATCCAGGCATGGGAATGTTTGTGGTATCTTGCCTACTTCCTCTCTCAACAACTCCTAGGTCTGTTGGGAATATTAAATAATACATTTCACAAGGCATGTGTGATACAATGCCTGGGGCATTGCAAGGGCTTGGCACTTGTCAACTATTGTTTACTATCTCAGAAAAAGTAGTCCACACACAAGTACCAGCAAGTTATCCTTGTAAGAAATTGTGCTTTGGGGTAACCAAAGTCATGGGCATGGCAGGGAGTGGATAGGTGTCAGGAGATGAATGAACATCAGATAATGCGATGGGAAATAGGGTCTAGAATGGGAGGCAGGAGCCAGATCACTCTGCTCACAAAGTATCAGCACTGCTGGTGCAAAAGGATTACCTTGAGATGAAATAAGTCAGAATTTGGGGGGTTGAAGTTCAAGTATTAGATTGTGAACTTCAGGCATTAGATTCTGACATTCAGCCAAATAGGAAAATCACTGATGTGGGCCTTGTATGCTAAAGAAAAAAGTTTGAATTTGATTCTAAGAGCAGAGCCAAGCCACTGGAATGTTTGTGGTATGGTGCCCACTTCCTCCCTTGACATCTTTTCTGCATATCAAATTCTGAGCTATCTTTCAATATGTCATATTCTCTGTGATTAGAGGAGTCCTATGACAACCTCTGCTTCCTCTGGGCTTTCCAACACTTTTTCTTACCTCTTGATAGCACAGCACTTCCTGGAGAGCATTGTGATGTGGACATGCCCATTACCCACCAGAAGGTAAATTCCTTAACAGCAGGAACCGCGGTTCCTCCATCAGTGTCTTGCACATTAAGACCCAAAAAGGTATTTTAAAAGAACAAGTTTAAGGGCTTTGCTTAGAAACAATTGCTTAAACTAAAAACTAATGTTAAAACAAATACCACCGTCCCCCATTGCTTTGGAACAACAGACCACTCAAAAAGTGCCAAATGTTAGGTAACAAAGATGGTTTCATCAGGTTACAGCTCTTCATTTGAATTGAGAATAAAGACCAAGAATGTCAGGAAGAAATTAGGGACAGAATGACAAATTAGAAATATATGCTACATGTTCTAAACAGAATGTCATCCAGCAAGTTAAGTAAAGTAAGTCATATGAAAAAAAAAGTACTAGATTTTATATTTCTGTTTAAAATAATATCTAATGGTGATAAATTTAATTTTGGAACAGCATTCAGAAAAATCATGAAAAAATATTCTCCTTATATAAACAGTTTCTTTTTTCTCTTTCTCTATTTTGTATTGGTTCAGTATAGCTATGCACAATGATAGGATTAGTTGTTACATATTCAGACATACATACATACAATATAACTTGGTCAAGATATAAAGCAATTCTTAAATGTACACTCTACAGAATTGATGAAACTGCATCAAGATTGTATACCGTATATTTATTTGTCAAGTATCTGATTTTGATGGCTGTGTTGAACATCCAGATTGCCATAAATTTACCCATGAATGAATATTAAAGGAAAAAGAAGACAAAATTACTTGCATGGGCTTCTAAAATGTTTTGCAATGTAACATTCGAAAAAACAATAGGTTGTTTGCTTAATAAATAGAAACGAAGTCTACATAGAACAAAGGCTGTCACTTTACAGGGGAACTTACCTTGAACAGCAGTCTACAAACAAAATAAAAGTTAAAAATTGCCTTGTGAGTTCAGGGCTAGAGGAGCATTTAAATGTCTGGCCAACTCTAGTTCACATGGTGATATATTGTTCTCTAGGGTACAGACTGTCAAACTGAGTTAGTGTCAATGAAAGAAAATGGGAGATGGACTTTCAGATGTTCTCATTCAGCTAAAAAGAAAAATACAGTTCAAAAAGCTTTTACCCGCTGAGCTTTTCAAATAACCACTCAGTAGAATGGATATATTGCTTGAAAGGGGAGGTTCATAAGAATACTAAAAGACTCAATAGATATCACCATTTTAAAATGTGAATCCAGAGTATTGCCTAGGTCCTTTCACTTCAAAGTGTGAACAGATGCTAATGATAATGTCATCAGCCCACTGCAATGTCACTTAATTGGTGATGTGCGCTTAAAATAGGTGTTCTTAAAAACCTTACATTCCAATCAAGTCTCTGCATTATGCAATCCACAATCTCTATTCTCTTCCGATATATACAATGATAGCCACAGTCTTTGGACTTCCAATTAATTCAGCAGACACATATGACCCTTAATGCTGATACCTTGAGACTCAAGGTCATCCAGGTGATATCTCTGTAACTTTTTCTTTTTTCTTTTGGATACACCACAAAGTCTGGACTTATTTGGGGGAAATGCAAATTTAAAACTTAGACTGAAAATTTTTAACTTGTATACACAGGATAATTATATCTATTATTCATTGGCAGCCCTAAATCACCTTCCATTTGTCAAATTCAGATGTCTATAAAGCATCTGACAGAAAATATTTTGATCTAGCTCATTTTGGATGCCCTTCTGATCAATAACTCAATTTCAGAGCATCACCAATTTTGTCAACAAAGCAAGGTCTTCATAATTATTTGGATGTTTTCTTGCCCTTTGACTTTTATAGCACATTTGCTCTGTGCTTTAAAAGTATAAAATAGAGTTGGGCATTGTGTCTCCACACCTGTGACCCTTGAGACTTAGGAGGCTGAGACAGGAGGATGACAAACTTGAGACCAGCCTTAGCAACTGAGTGAGGCCCTGAGCAATTTATTAAGACCTTGTCTCAAAAAAGAAAAAAATATATATATATATATAGAGAGAGAGAGAGAGCGTGCTTGAGGATGTATCTCAAGTGATAAAATATTCCTGAGTTTAATCAATCCCTGGTATCCGGAAAAAAGAATATATATATATATATAAATATATACACATATATATGTGTATATATATGTGTGTGTGTATACATATATATATATGTATGTATATATGAATGAATGTGTATACAGATAGATAAATGGTAGAAAAAAATAACTAATGCTTATTATGAGAAACACAGTCTCAAAACCCTAATGAAGATGGACAAGATTAAGTCATCTTCCTTACTCAGCCCCCTCCTCTGGCCTCCAGTTATTCAGCCATGGGTTCAATTTGGAAAGCAAAGATCAAATATGAGGCCTCTATGGCAGGCTAGAAATAAATCTTCAAAAGTTGTGTCTTGAGAAACTTCCACATGTAGTTAAAGATTCAATTTATCTTTTCTCCCCTTTCTCCCTGGTGTCAAATACAGAAAGTACATGAACTAAACCTCCAGATCTTTGTTTATTAAATTATTAGGGTCTATATAGAACCCTTATTTTGTTTTACTCATGTTTTTTTTTTCCTATTCACTCAAAAATACTTCCTATATATGGATGAGAGACTAATGCTTTGCCTTCTGCTCTGAGACCAGATATTTACTGGTAGTAATGAGTCCCAAATCTTTTAAATTGTTATAGCATGCAAATGGAAAAAATGTTCCAAATAGATATAAAAGTTAAGACTAAATGCAAATAAAGTCTCAAGTATAAAATCACCAAGTATCTGTAGTGTAAGAAGAAGATTGGCTCCAAAGAGGAAAGCATTGAAAGATATTCTAAAGACATTTGATGATAGTCAGTCTTAGCTCTAATGATAAAACTAAAAACTTAGGTAGACTCAGGGCAAACATAAATGCACTACAAGGATTTAATAAAATACTGAGCACAGAGTCAAATATGAATTCTTCAAATTGGCTGATTATCAATTTAGGGGATCTAAATAAATATAAGAAAATTTAATCTGTGTTTTTAGAAACTTGGAATTCTTAAAATGGGAAAATAGGGATAAACCACTCAGTAGGTTCTTGCCTTCAGAGTTGGTTTACTAAAATCTCCAACA